ATGCCACTCCCCCAAACATTGACACCCCCTTATCTCACTGCCCCAAACACTGGCACCCACATGGCATGCCACTCCCCCAAACATTGACACCCCCTTATCTCACTGCCCCAAACACTGGCACCCACATGGCATGCCACTCCCCCAAACACTGGCAGCCCCTGTTCTGTGACAGCTCCAACACTGATAGCTGAATCTGCAACATCCCCAAACACTGACTCAGTTTTTGTTCCCCCCAAACACTGACTGGATCAGTGACCAATCACAAGTCACTGGAGCCCCGATCTATGACACTCCAAGTGGTGGCCTTCCCAATCGCTACCAAATAACAACATTGGCTCATGATCACCAGGTATCCGGCATCTCGTGTGACACTCCAGCATCAGGCAGCCCCCCTGCCAGCCCACCCTGAATGGCATGCACCTTCTGAGAGGTTCCCGTGGCAAAAGGCTTCAGGCAGCTGGCCCAGGTAGCAGGGAGAGAAGAGGGGTGGGGGAAGACTCAGCACTACCCCCAAGCTGCCCAAGCCGGAACCCTGCCCCACAGAGACCCTCTGTCCTCCACAAAGCCTAGCCTCCAAAAGAGACACCCCAACCAGACCCTGGCCAGAAAGGCCCAAGCCAGAGCCCAGACCCTGAGAGAGATCCCCTGCCCACCCCCTCCCCATGTGCCTCAGCACGCCCAGATCTTTCAGCACCCCCCCAACTTAGGCTGCACCCAAATACCTCATCTACCCACCAGCACCCACTGACTTAGATGCACTCAGAACCCACTGAGCCACCCACCAGCAACCTCTCCCCATACACACCCTCATACAACACCGCCCCAGCCTCGCTGCTGCTAAGTTTTGTGTGGCTCCATGTCCTGGCCCCATTATTGCTCAGGCCCAGGGGTGTCGATCACGGGCTGAAGTTTTTACATCCATGTGCGCGTTATTTGCATATATGCAATTCAACCCTTACATGATTTGCATACAATGTCACTCTTGCACAGCTGGGCAGCCGTGTGGCCCTGCCCCGGACCTGCCCACTGGGCTGCAGCCGGACCCCCACTCCAGATCAGGTCCATTCTCCGCAGCACAGTTTGGCCTATATCTGGGAACTACATCTCCCGGCAGGCCCTGCGCTCATCCGCCATGCCAACCCTCTAGTTCCGGGTTCGGCCTATACAGGAGAACTACATCCCCCAACAGGCAACGCGCCCCTCTTCCTGCACTTCCGGGGCCGGCCATTTCTCCCGTCAGGCACTATGCCTTCCCGCACTTCCGGCCCCGGGGCCGGATGTGCGCGTGGCCTTGCGTCTCCTGGTTGGTTGGTTTATCGCCAGGCAGCGGCGGCGGGTGAGTGACTCTTCTGGGGCCCGGCTGGGTTCGGCCCGCTCCCTAGCGCCGGCTGTTGTCATGGCGACACCCAGTCGCGCCCTTTGCTGCCTTTAAGGCCGTGGTGGGCAACACGCGGCCTGCCCAGGGGCCCCGGTCCCAGCCAATGGGAGCTGCGGGAAGCCAGCGGATTGCCCCGGGGGGCCGCGTGTGGCCCGCCACTGCTTGAAGGTGAGCCCTGGGTACGGGGGGGGGAAACCCCATCATTCCTAGCGGGTGAGGAGCCAGGCCTCGGGGGGGAAGTGCTGCCATAGGGGGGTGGGGGGACGCTGCCATTGGTATGAGTGGCGCTGTAGTGACTCCCATTCACCCACCCACTGGTTTGTTTTCCCATATGAAGCTGCCGTGACCGAAGCTGTCTTGCCTGGGGCAGTATCTAGGGGGTGAAGCAGTGACCTCCCGTCTCTGGTCCAGCCGTTTCCGTGGCTCGATAGCCTTGGTGCCCTTTGGTGTGTGGCGCTCTTTGGGCGGGGTGAGGAATAGGGTTTAATTAGCGGAGTTCCAGAATAACCAATTGCATCGCCGGGTGGGGAGTGGGAACCCTCCTCTCATCGGTATATAATAATGCCTGGGTCTGTGTGACAATGTAGAGCATCGCAGGGAACGGAGCCCTCTACCCGCTGCAGATAGGGGACCAGAGAGTGGGATTGAGTAGAGTGGAATTCGGGGGGGGGGTGACGGGAGAGCATTATACTCCCTGTGATGTGACCTCATTCCTTGTGTCTGTTTCAGGCCTATACAGGATAGAGATGGCAGAGGAGGCCGGGGATGAGAAGAAGCAGGTGGCAAAGTTTGAGCTGGAGCGGGAGACGGAGCTTCGCTTTGAGGTGGAGGCCTCGCAGACTGTCCAGCTGGAGCTGCTGGCAGGCATGGCGGAGATTTTCGGCACCGAGCTGACCCGTAACAAGAAGTTCACTTTCGATGCTGGTGCCAAGGTGGCCGTGTTCACGTGGCATGGCTGCACAGTGCAGCTGAGCGGCCGCACTGAAGTGGCTTACATATCGAAGGACACGCCCATGCTGCTCTACCTCAACACCCACACAGCCCTGGAGCAGATGCGGCGGCAGGCAGAGCGTGAGGATGAGCGGGGGCCCCGGGTCATGGTGGTGGGGCCTACGGATGTGGGTAAGTCGACAGTGTGCCGGCTGCTGCTGAACTACGCTGTGCGGCTGGGGCGCCGACCCACCTTCGTGGAGCTGGACGTGGGCCAAGGCTCGGTCTCCATCCCTGGCACCATGGGGGCACTGTATATCGAGCGGCCTGCTGATGTAGAAGAGGGTTTCTCTGTCCAGGCCCCCTTGGTCTATCACTTTGGCTCCACCACTCCAGGCACCAACATCAAACTCTATAACAAGGTGAGCAGTGGCAGATCTGGGGGGTGAAATTCAAGGCAGCCAGGGCTCTTTCCCACACGCACACAGTTGTTTCTGGAGACATAGCAACCTTTAATGACCAAAGCATCTGGTTCTGAGTGAGGGAGGAGTAAAGCAGGCTGTACATGGAACATTGCCCTTTGGAGATGGGATGCTGATATGTACATGTACTCTGGTCCTACTGGAGAAAAGGGTAGGCGGGCACCTTCTCTACAATCCAGAGTATTTTGGAAAGAGAATGCCAATGTGCACACCCCCCTCACACCAGGGGATGGTTCAGGCATCTCCATCCTCCCTGGGCTAGACCAATCCAGCAAGGTGAATTCACATATGCACACTTGTCGGTGGGGAAAGGCAGAGACTGCCCCATGCTGAGACTGAACTCACATGAATAGATAGTTGGGGGACCGATCCAAAGAAAAAGGAATTACTGGGAGTAAAGGGGTGACATTCCCTTGTCTCCCCACCCCATGATCGCCTCTGGCCCTGCTCAGCTGTATTTTCATCATCTAGTCTGGATGAAATGAGAAGGAGGGCTTTTGACTTGTTGCTTCCTCTTTATCTTCTCTTATCATCAGTGCTCTTTAATCTGTTTTGTGCTACCTTGGAAGGAAACAGGCTTGCATCATGGACTGGAAGTCACGGCTCTCGGACCAACTCTGCCACTGACTTCCTGTGTGACCTTGGCAAGTTAATACACTTTCACATAACACAAGAACCCAGGGTCACCAAATGAAATTGATAAACAGCAGGCTTAACACAAAATAAGGAAGTACTTCTTCACACAGTGCACAGTTAACCTGTGGAACTCTTTGACAGAGGACATTGTGAAAGCCAAAAATATACCTGGGTTCAAAAAATAATTAGATAAGTTCATGGAGGTTAGGTCCATCAATGGCTATTAGCCAAGATGTTCAGGGCCACAATCCTATGTCCAGGGTGTCCCTAAGCCTCTGATTGCCAGAATCTGGGACTGGACAATGAGATGGATTGCTTGATAATTGCCCTGTTCTTTTCATTCCTTCTGAAGCATCTGGCACTGGCCACTATTAGAAGACAGGATACTGGGCTAGATGGACCATTGGTCTGACCCAGTAAGGCCGTTCTTAAGTCACTTCCCTTATCTGCAGAATAGGGACAACAATCAAACATTTGCATGGTTTGAGATGAACACTGACATTTATTAACCCAAGATGTAAATACTGTCCAAAGACAGAGAATCTTCTTAATTACACGTCCTTGCAGGTAGTTTATTATCTTGATTGAGATAAACCTTTATTCAAAAATATAGCTTGAAAAGACTTAAGATGGAAAAAAAAACAGTTAAGAAAAAGGATATTCTGTTTATTTGATTATTTGGCAACTTCTGTGTTAAAAGAGCAGAGTTTAGCATTTCACACATTCCTGTTCATTAGGAGTAATGCTGATATTGTCTCCTCTAAAGCAGCAATAACTGTCACTTGCTATATTTCATTGTAGACACAAACCTACATTGTTTTTCTGAATCTCTGTATAGTAACATACCTTCTGACTGTCTCCAGCACGACAATAAGCAGATCTCGCCTCTGTGACCTCAAATGTAGAGGTCCAGAAGAAATGATCATTTACTTTAATGACCATTCAATAGGTAGGGTGTTAAATGTCCAATCTGATTAGCCTTCTAGAAGCAAATAAATGCACTGGTGCTTAATAGTTGTCCAAGTAATGAAACAAAATATAGTTATTTGTATCCCCTGCCTCATGGGTAAAGGACAAGACACAGTTTCTGATGGAGTGTATTTCTCTTATGAAGCTGTGCTCTGCCATGCTTAATTTACCATGCCAAGGTATCTAAAGCGAGATGCATGGACAGAAAGATTTGCATTTCCATTTCTCCTCCACTGAGTAAAATGTCAGTGTTAGGGCTGCTCAAGGGCAATTTATATGTGATCAGGCCACCATCTAGTGGCAGCCTGCAAAGGATATAAGCCCCACCTTGAGAAAGGGAAAGACCATGGGTGGAGCCACTTCAGATAGTACAGTCACCGGGCATCTTCCTTGGGTTCCAATTAGCCATGCTGCTTCCTCTCTGCAGATCACATCTCGCTTGGCTGACGTCTTTAACCAGCGCTGCGAAGTGAACCGCCGGGCTTCAGTTAGTGGCTGCGTCATCAACACGTGCGGCTGGGTGAAGGGCTCCGGGTACCACGCCCTGGTGCATGCTGCCTCAGCCTTTGAGGTGGATGTGGTGGTAGTGCTGGACCAGGAGCGCCTATACAATGAGCTGAAGCGGGACCTGCCCCATTTTGTGCGCACAGTGTTGCTCCCCAAATCGGGTGGGGTGGTAGAGCGCTCCAAGGACTTCCGGAGGGAGTGCCGGGATGACCGCATCCGTGAGTACTTCTACGGCTTCCGTGGCTGCTTCTACCCCCACGCCTTCGACGTCAAATTCTCCGATGTCAAGATCTACAAGGTGGGGGCTCCCACCATCCCTGACTCATGCTTGCCCCTGGGCATGTCGCAGGAGGATAACCAGCTCAAGCTTGTGCCAGTGACGCCAGGCCGTGACATGGTGCACCACCTGCTGAGCGTCAGCACTGCTGATGGCAGTGAGGAGAACATCTCCGAGACCAGCGTGGCTGGCTTCATCGTTGTCACTGGGGTGGACGTAGATCGCCAGGTCTTCACAGTGCTGTCACCGGCACCTCGCCCACTGCCCAAGAACTTTCTGCTGATCATGGACATTCGCTTCATGGACCTTAAGTAGGGGCTGCACTGGAGCAGAAGAGGTGGAGTCCACCAGGCCTATAGTGTCTCCGTGGTGGACAGAACTTTTACCAATTGAAGGGGGTGGAGACTGCCACACAGACTGAATCATTTGAAACCAGTGTGGGAAGGGGTACAGGCTGCTGTCCAGATCAAACCATTGGGAGAAACCAAAGTGGGTCAGGTGAGGTTTGTGGATTAATTTGTAGACAGAAGCAGGGAGGGAATGTGGGATTAAATGCAACTGTAGATGGCTCACTGTCTACATCCTTCTCTAGGATCCCTTCTCCTCCTTAGATTTCAGTCCCTGAAATCTGGACCCATTGTCCCTTTTACACAGCCAATGGTTCGTGGGCCTCCTCTTGTAGAAGAGGATCAATATTGTTTTATATTTTTGTAATTTTAATAAATTTCCTAGTATTTTACTGGTCTCTGGTGACAGTGGATGAATTTTGTGTAACCTCCTGCAGTGTGAGAGGGATCTGCAGGGCACGCACACAGGAGGCACTGCTGGGGCTTAGAAAGGGGAATTTCAATGTGATGCCCACAGAGAAACTAGACAGATTGGAACAGGGCCATACGAAGTAGGCTGGGGCACTTCATTACAGTGGATCATCCTAGGAGCCAGGCTAAGAAGAACCAACAATTTCATTTTCTAGGCCCTTCACCTCTCCTGTGCTATGGAGATGTCTGCTCCACATTGTTGCCAGCTTGGATCACCAATTTCTCCAATATTCCAACAAATAACTTCACACTTCCCCTTAACCAACGAATGAGCTCCCTATAAACATCTTGAGCATTTCTCCTTCAACTCCCTCCTTAAAGCTCACCTGTGCTGTAATGCATACAGCACCCATGGCTGGCATCCCGTGACTGCTCTTTGTGATCATTTCCTTGTTTCCCCACCTTCCTGTCAGTTGTACTCAGCTGTTGTCTCATCTTGTATTTAGAGTGGTAGACTTGTTCTGTGTTTATACTGCACCTAGCACCTTGGCCCTCATCTATGACTGGCTGCTACTGCAGTAAAAGTGGACAGTGGTTTTTACTGGGTATGAAGCCAGGAATTTGCCACTGGAAGGGAAAACCATGGCAAGGAACTGCTGCTAGTTGGTGGCACTTCAGGGTAAGAGATGGGAGAAACAGGTTTGCAAATGGAGAAGGCAGGGGAAGAATGTAATGCTGGAGACTGCATAGCAGGAGAGAGACAGAGGAATGGATTGTGGGATTTTAAGAACACAGGAGGAAAAGTTTGTGAATTTGGGGTTGAGGAATTTGGGTTGTCCTGACCTCTCTAGCGAGGAGTTGGCATTGTTGATTAAACCCATATAGTGACTTCCTGTATCAAAGCAATAATGCTCCACTGACTATATGATTCAGTTATCAAAGAGGGTGAATTAGTAGGGAAGGGACAGACCTGAATTTCCCAGTTTAATTAGCGCACTGTGATCTGAGTTAATGGCATGCACACACACTCAAGCGTTCACTTGTTTTAAGGATCAAAACTTTCTTCACAAGTCACAGGTCAGGACCAGTTGCTTAAGCAGATGCACATCCCAGTTGTCAGAGGTGTGAAAACCTCATGTGTTCTGGGATTGCATCAGAACTACTGCCTCAGAGGTGCAAATTCTGCATCTCCCCTTCTGTGATTACCAGTCCCTTTAACTTTCTGGAAGTGCTTTGGACTTGGGGGCCAGCGGGGGGTGGGGAATAAAACAGGACATGCCATGCAACTGTTACAAGAGGACCCTGTGGCTGGGATATGCATGATGCTGTGAAGACAAACCAAGGCTAAGAGGTGCATTTTGTGTCCCATAAGCCTGTGGGGTGGAAGGTCAGTCAATCAGGTGTTTTTCTTGTTCCTGTCCCTTGCTTGATGGTTGGAGTTCACCCAGCTCAGGTGGTAGAACACCAGCATTAGAGCGGGAGATGGGGCTTACCTGTGCTATGACTCAGGACATCTGGTTCAATTCCTGGCTCTGCTGCAGGTCACCTGTGTGACCTCAGGCAAGTCATTTAGCATCTCTGGGCCTCAGTTACCCTCTGTAAAAAGAGAATAATCCTCCCTTTGTCTCTTGTCCATTTAAACTGTGACTGCTGTAGTGCAGGGACTGTCTCTGCTATATGCATGTCTGTCTTACCTAACAGTTTCCCACCCCCTGATCATTACCTCATCTAACTTCATATGCCCCAGCAAGGGCCCTGCATATTAGTCTTGGTAAGAACGCTATGCTGGGGCAGACCAAAGGTCCATCTAGCCCAATAGCCTGTCTTCCAACAGCGGCCAATGCCAGGTGCCCCAAGGGGAATGAACAGAACAGGTAATCACCAAGTGATCCATCCCCTGTCGCCCATTCGCAAACAGAGTCTGATTGCCTGGAACAACTTCTCCTCTCTCTCTCTCAAGAGAGTTCCTTTTTAAATTGCTGTAGTCCTTTTGTTCTCTGGGGTGTTCTGGTTTTGTCTCGTCATGCTATTGTCTCTTAACAACATGCAGGTGTTTGCAGAGAACAGTGAGCTATTCCTTCCTCCTCATTTTTCGTTACAGCTCACATGAGCTGTTCGGCAACCTGCTTGGAGTATAAGGTGGGAGCAAGGAGATAACCTAGATGCTGGGCTGGTGGTGGGCTCTATCATGGTGTCACTGGGATGGGGGGGGGGGGTCACACCCACTGACAATGGGATGGTGGTGGGGCGGTACCATAGAATCATTGGGATGGGGGGTGTTGCACAGGCTGGGGGTGAACTGTACCATGGTTTCACTGGGTTGGGGGTCACACCCCCTAGACACTGGGATGGGCTGTCCCATGGTTTCACTGGGTTGGGGGTCACACCCCCTAGACACTGGGATGGGCTATCCCATGGTTTCACTGGGTTGGGGGGGATCAATCCCCTTTGCTGTTTTTCAAATTGCTTTAAATAAAGCCCCTCCCCCAATAATCAGTTTAACCAGAGGGGCGAGTTCTTTAAGGCGATCTCCCGGATCAGCCACTGGCAGTGCACGTTTTATCATGCTAGGCGGGGGATGAGCACTGATTGGACAGGGAGTTTGTCAATCAGCGTGGCCGGGTACGAATGTGGCCTCTGCAACCGAGTAGGTCCTGAGCACGCGCCGAACATCCCATCGCTCAATGGTCCGCTCCTCTGCCCCCCTACCCCTCCTCCCTGATTGCGAGAGAATGTGGCGCACGCGCAGAGCGATGACGTGGTTGTCTACGTCTCTGGGCATGTGCAACGGCTCTGCCTTCTCTCGCTCCCGCCAATCAGCTACCGGCAGTATTCGGACGGGCGCGCGACCCGGCGACGGCCACTTGGTGGGGGGGAGGAGAAGGCGGAGCGCGCGCCTTGGGACCATCCGGCGAGCGAAGCGCGAGCCCGAATGGGGTCGGGAGCGCGCGCTTCCTCCCTGCTGCCTGGACGCGCCTCTCACACAGGGAGCCGGGCCGGGCGCAGGCGGAGGGAGCGACTGTGCGGTGCGGGTGAGTGCGGGCCGGGCCGGGCCCATCTCCAGGGGGCAGGGCGGGGAGCCGGGGCCCTCACCCATCGCGGGGAGCCGGGGAAAAGCGCCTGGTGGAGACCGGGCCTCGCTCCGGGCCTAGCCGCCCCCGGCATCGGACACTCGGGTCCAGAGAGAGAGAGACGCCCCCCCTCTGCGCTCGCGCACAGCCTCCCCCCCCCCGCATCTCTCCCCCTCAGCGCCCCCCATCGCCCCCTCACCGGCCCTGCCCCATAGCGTGCACAGTATCCAGCCCCCGCGCTGCCCCTCGTCCCTTCAGCGCC